GTGGACAGAATGGAGTGAAAAGGGAAAGAAGAAGGATCATGGTGACTCATAACAGGGAAAACATCAGCGTCATTTCTAATGCGAGAACAAACCTTGCTTCAACATAAGTTATTGGCAGTGCAACCACCGAGTCCAGAATCCACCTAGCAGAGTTAAGACCAGTGGTAGCATTTTACATTACCAGCCACAGGAGGCTGGACCTGCACCACACAGTTGCCCACATCCATCACCCAGCCTCTCTCTGAAAGATACACCCCTGTCCCAAACTCAATGCCCAGACTTTACTGAATTTTTAAAATTAAATTAACTTCAAGACTCACAAGGTGAACCAAACAACCAAAATGCCCATCAACCACAGAATAGATGAAAAAGATATGGTATTTTTGTACAATGGAATATTACTTGGCTATAAAAAGATGATCTTGAGGCTTTTATAGGTAAATGGAGGCAATTTGAGACTATCCTCTTAAGTGAAATAAATCATACTCACATTTGTAAATACCCTATTGTCTCTGTAGTGTAAAAAATAAATGATAATAAAAAAACTAAAAGAGTAATAAGATCCAAAATTTATAATAGATATTGTAATAATAAAAGGGAAAGAAAGTGCTCAAAAGGAAAGAGCAACTTGTAGGCATATACATATAATGTGGTCTAATGTTTAATCTCTGTTGAAAACCTACTGGAGTCTGTGAGTAGTCACTTACCTCACTCTTTCGGTGTCCCTGTTGTTCATCCTGTGGTATTTTGTCCTTGTCTCTGCTCTCCAGCATTGATCACACAGGGTGGCCTCCCCTAGCAGACTATGATGCCCCCCAGTGGGCACCAGTTAACCGTTGTCTGGCCCAGGACCATGGTCTCCTGCTCAGGGAATAATGACAGAGTAAAACACAGACAAGAGGTGTATTTAAGTTACAAGGGAACCACTGTGGTCACAACACAATGACAGGCTAAGACTTGGAGGCACGATGCCTTTGTTTCTTATTAGGTGCATGGCTTGTTTGGGGGGAGGGGTGCTGGTGGCTGCAGAGAGCACTAGAGGTGACCTTCTGTTTCCGTCAAGATTCAGGAATTGAGGGGCATTGTGTTTTTGGGAAAGCACAGAGGAACAGATATTAGTTAACTGGTGTTATCTACTAATTGGACTACGGATTGGACTACTAACTGGACTATCTAGCTAGAAGGAGTTTGCACAAGTTGAGTCCTCAGCTGCCCTGTTGTCCTGCTTTGCTGCACCAGAACTCCACACAATGCTAGTGTCAGCTCTGGTGGGGGCCTGAAGATTCATCTGTCCTTAGACCACCCGTGGATCTCACCAGAAGTGAGGTTGGCCTAGGACAGGCTGTCAATTTATTTTTGTGCCAATTTGTTAATATTAATTATTGTCTACTGTGTACCATCACAAGTTGGTCTTCAGCGGGAGTGTCAGAAATCTACTGAGATTGGGGAAAAAAAGTGGGAGGGGGGGCTAATTTTTGCCTTACATTTAACGTCCACATTTCTGTACAGCTTTATTCTGAATTCTTGAGTGCTCCCAATTTCTTGTAGTTAACCATCTTTAATCCTTAGAAGCATAGTATTTAGTGATTAGAAATAAAAATAAATTACATACTAAAATTACATGAAGAAATACAATGGCATACACTTGCAGTTTCAGCTATAGAGGAGGCTGAAGCAGGAGGATCATTGGGTCCAGGAGTTTGGGACCTGCCTGGACAGCACAGAGAGGCTCTGTATCAAAGATAACAAAGCTCAAAATAAGATATTATGTATCTTTTCTTCTTTCCTTTTCTCCTTCTCCCTCAGCTGTCTCCTTCCCTAATCTGATCTCAGACCTGGAGACAGACCCTGTTAGTTGGTGTGCAGTGCTGAGTGTACTTTTAAAATTCTGCTCTCCATGCCTTTCTGTAATACTAATCAGTCCAGTTCCATATGCTGAAAATTTTACATAGCATGTTTACATAATGTGTGCATGCCATGCCTGTGCTTTTACATCTTCTTTCTTCACTCAAAAGCATGTTTTTATAAATATTCATTCATACCAACACCAGCAGGTCTTCATTAATTTTAAAACCCAGAATTAAGGCCTTCATAGGTAGCTTCTGCTGAGGTCATCTGACACTTGGTTGAGGTTTGATTCCCTGTCTTTTCTACCTGCTTCCTCTCCCACTTCCTGTTCATTTACTAGGTGTTTCTTGCTTCTTTTAGATTTTTTGAAGCCCAAGCATCTTTATTAAGACCAGATCATACTGCTGTGTCTACCTTCCCATAGCTGCACACCTATGAAATAACTCAGTAAACTGCACACCCCGGTCTGACCTTTCTCAAGATGCAGTCACCTGGGAGCCGCCTTAGATTTACTCAGCAGCTAGTTACAAGTGGTGGTTGTGATCCCAGTCCCCATGCAAGATTTATGGAATTGCATTTTCTATTTCTTTTCTTTCTCTGGTACTTGTAGTTTGAATTTTCTCATTTTATCTTAATCACATACATTCAAACTTAAAAACACATGAGCTAGATTTGCTGGGTATTTGTCGCATATTAGTTCAATGTGACATAACCTTTCAGATCAAAATTTCATTTAGTTGTGTCTGTTTTTTATTTTCTGCATTCATGTGAAAATATACTGCTAGTACAACTTTTTGAGTTAAATTTTCTCTGACGTTTACAAGGTCAAATTCATTAGACCTAAATGATTCGGAATGAGAAAAGATGCTGTTGTACAGTTGATAAGAACCATGTACAGTTCACATGCTTTGTTATAAATGAATTAGGCCAATGGAATGACCATGAGAAAGAAACAAGGAAGAATAGGAGGGATTTTTGCCAATGTGAGGACAGCTTGGAGTCCTTCTATGTCCATTCCATATTTGTCCTGTGGACACTGGCAGGATGGGATGTGAAAATGACCTTCATCCTGAGGTTTGTGACTTCACATAAATTACTCTTGCAATATGAGTCAATATAATGGCACCTTTGGGGAAGAATTTCATGCTCTTGCATCACCTAAGTAAAAGTACTCTATGTTTCATAGAAAACGCAGGTATTAATCACCAGAGTCTTCATCACCACTGTGACTGAGGAATTTGGTCTTGGGGGACAAGTTTCACATTTATCTTCAGGGACTTTTGGTCCCTTAATAATTTTGGGAATTTTGAGAATAGAAACTGGAACTAACTTTAGTGGTTGTAGGATTTTTTTTAGCTAAAGTATCAAATCTATAATTTAAGGTTTTCAAAACTATATTCCTTGGCTCTTTATTTTTCCTGTATCTTCTCTCATGGCAGTTACCAACCCTGTTTGTTAAATATGCATGGAAATGATCTTTGAACGTTTTTCTTCCTCTGTCCTTTCTCTCAAGTTTTACTTACCATTTTGTACACATTTTCCTATTGCATACTTTGCTTAGATGCTTATTCGAAACTGCATGTATAACTTTTCCTAATATTTTTTTTTCTGAGTTTGCTCTGAAGCAACACACAAGGCAGTTACCTGGGCTATTTTATTGCTATTTCTATTCTCTTTGTGATACATTTTCCTGAATCTTCCCTGGATAGAATTTCTGTTTATGATTATTTCTGAGAGCCACTCACTAAACCAATATTAATTCACATCAGTTTCAATTCTCTCCAAAATAATGAATAAAAAACCTTTTATGGCTTCCAGTATTCTCTCACAGGGGCAGTCCTGGGCATTTTTGGACTTTCTGCACTGCACTGATCCAAGCCTGTCTCTGGGCCTTGTCTGTGCTGCCGTCTTGTGATGAGACACTAGACCTATCCTAGAGGATGAGCAGGTTTCCAGTGATTTTAATGATGAGAAAACTTACACTGTATAGTTATTTTTAAATGATGTCAGAATTCTGACACAGGTTGCTCTCAGGTTGTATCTTTGAGTATAGCAGTGGTCCCTGCATGTTTTACTAAGTTCTCTTGTTCCATATTTTTTACCTAAAAATGGAAGCATTGCCACAATAAGCCTTCACCAGTGGGATAAAGAGATTTTGTATTTTCTAGTACATGTTACAGAAAAAACTGAGAATATCATCTTCATTTGGAAATGTACTTATTTGAGACTTAATCAGAATTCATGTAAAGTGGTAAAATTTTGATAAGCCCATGTAATTGTCATTAGCTGGCAAATACAGCACAGTTTATTTCTTTAAGCATATCTCTTGAGAAAATACAAGGAAACATAAGTCTTCCAATATTTAATCATTATTGAGCTAATGAACACAGCACAGTTATATTCTTTTAGCTGATCCCTTGAGAAAATACCAGGAAATGTAAGGTTTTCTTCACTCATAAAAACCCCTTTGGTCTTGTTAGGAAGTAGCTCTTTTGCAATTGGTACATGCTACTTACCACACCTTTCACTAGAGAGGATGTTTTTAGCAAATCCATCCCCAGAAATCATGATCAATAACTCGTGGCTTCTCACAGCCTGGGGAACTGGGGTCTGGGTTCTGGCTCTCTCAGTCAAGATGTGTCCCATGCAACAGCAATTGTGACAAATGAAATATCTTTATTCTGCACCATGTAATTCTAACATGCAGCAGAGCCACTTAGCTCTTTGAGAAGAGAGGAGGAGAATGAAGCCCTCCCCTGAAGCCATGATACTAAAGGGTGAGTGTTGAATTTGATCTCTTCTGCTATTCTTTCAGACTTCATCTATGGTGTTCAGTGAACTCTTGAAAAGTCTCATCTCCTGTCTGCTGAGATCATCACTGACTGGGGTAAAAGAAGGACCATGGAGGCAGAAGTCGCCTAGGGCCAGCACTGTTGCTTCCTGAAATCCATCCTTCAAGAAATCGCCTCCTACATTCCACCTAATATTCATCTTTATACACTCCCTCTGTCTAGTTCTACAGTGGAGAAAACGAGGGCATAGGGAAGGATGGGCTCGAGCTCACCCCCTCCTATTCCCTGAATCAGCTCTCATTCCATGGATTTGTTTGGAGTTGTCTCATTTTAGTGACACTGTTTGCTTCTTCTCTTGTTCTCACAGAAATGGTGCAGGGAAGAATGGCTTCGCACAATGGCTCTTCAGTGACTGAGTTTGTTCTGCTGGGTTTAACACAACAGCCAGAGCTCCAGCTGCCTCTCTTCCTCCTCTTCTTGGGAATCTATGTGGTCTCCGTGCTGGGGAACCTGGGCTTGACTGTTCTCATAGGTCTGAATCCTCATCTGCATACTCCCATGTACTACTTTCTCTTCCACCTCTCCTTCATCGATCTCTGCTACTCCTCAGTCATAACTCCGAGAATGCTGATGAGTTTCCTAAATCAAGACATCATCCCTTACCCTGAGTGTATGGCTCAGCTCTTTTTCTTTGCTTTCTTTGCAATTGATGAGTGCTGTATTTTGACCTCCATGGCCTATGACAGATATGTGGCCATCTGTAAGCCCCTGCTTTACAAGGTTATCATGTCCCATCGGGTCTGCTTCATGATGACAGTTGGTGTGTATGCAATGGGCTTTGTGTGTGCCATGGCCCACACAGGGTGTATGCTCAGACTAACGTTCTGTGGCAGCAATGTTATTAATCACTACATGTGTGACATCCCTCCTCTCCTGCGGCTGTCCTGCTCAAGTACCTCCATTAATGAGGCAGTGGTGTTCATTTTGGTGAGTGTCAATGTTACAGGCCACAGTCTTGTCATCTTTATTTCTTATACTTTGATTCTCTCTAATATTTTCTCTATCCATTCTAGAAAAGGCAGATCCAAAGCCTTCCACACCTGCAGCTCTCACATCATTGCTGTTTCTTTTTTCTTTGGAGCAGCAACACTCATGTACCTTAAGCCTTCTCCTGCAGAGGCTCTGGATCAAGATAAATTATCCTCTGTTTTTTATACTATTATGGAGCCAATGATTAATCCTTTAGTCTACAGTTTGAGGAACAAGGATGTCCATATTGCACTAAAAAAGACTTTGAAGAAAAGGATTCGTTCTTAAATAGAAGTCACTTTTGCTATATGTCATATGAATTAGTGCAGGTGTTTTATAAATCTATGGCAAGAATGGCAAGTAACCAAAATATGCAATTTTTTTAAAAAATAGAAAAAGAGTTATGCACATCAGTTCACAAAGCAAAGTAATATAGATAAGAAGATCATATTTATTCCTTTAAATAGGAGTAGAGTGATAGTTTAGTCTGTCATTCTCCTGCTTAGTATGGTTTTAAGTGTAAATGTGGTACATGATAGTAAATCTAGAAATGGTTATTGTGAAACTTAAACACATTCATATCTGAAATTCCTGTGCCACTGTATTTTCTTGCCCTTTAGTTTGGTAATTGAATTTTTATTTGGTAAATCTCTGTTGAATGTTTAAAGAACATTAGTTTCCGGAGATTACTTTGCTTTTCAACAACACGGATACTCTAATTTTTGTTCATACTTTAGTCTCAAATGTGTGAGGTAAAGAGAGGCTGAAGATTTTCCGCTAACCATAGTTCCTAAGGTCAGGAAGGTAAAATATTTAGAACCGACAAGACAAAGGGAAGCTGCATTATATGCAGCTCTTAGACACCAGCCAGGAATGTGGGTGTAAAGATGGGCTATTTCTTCTTTAGGAAGCATCTTGTTACAAATGTTAAACAGCTATGTATATTGGAATTTACTGGTTCTTCAAGCATACTTTATAATTTTACTTATAATGTATCTACCTCTTTTCATTTTCACTCTCATTTTGTCTTAGAGTTTTGCATAATACAAATGGTGTAGTTTACATGGTCAACAAACATAGGCTGAGAATCCTGTTTTAGACATTAAAATATTCAGGCTCTGTTTTCTGTGTAAAATTGTAGTAGTGGGGAAGACAAAATATATATCTGCTACCCCAAATTCTTAATTGTATGCACTTAGGTAAGGATAGAGTTTAGGTGGATAAGTGGAAGAAAGAAATAATGAATAAACAAAACATAAACACACACATCCAAAATTTATACAGTCCTAATTTAAGGTGATGAACCAGAGAGTAATTGTATTTCATAACAGATGAAAATGGATTTCCTTGAGATAGTGGGATGGGAGCTGAGACCTAATCAATGTTAGGAAGTCTGCTGCACTGAGAAGTGAGGCACAGCTAAGAGTTAGCACAGAGCTTAAGAGGAAGTAATGATCTTGAGGAAAAAGGACACAGAAGATGTCAGTATTTGTGGTGTAGCAAAAGGCTGAGAATTTGATTAGTGTAGTTTACAGGAAAAAAATTAGGAAACAAGTGTAAGTAGCAGGGATTTAGAGGGGAAAAGAATGAATGACATTGAAACAACAAACAGCACTGAAATGTTATCCCTGGAAGCCAGAGCACTTTTTTTCTCCTTTATTTTGAAGCTTTGTTTTCATTTCTTCTGCTCATTGAAATAGGTTAAGTGTTCCACAAGCAATTTGTAATGAAACCAATGGTTCAGCAGACCTCAAAAGAAACCATAATACCATATCTTGCAATAAAGTTTGTGTTTGTGGTCCTAATTTTGTATGCATAGGAAAGATGAGTCTGTAGAATCTCAACTGAACCAGGTACAGAAGAATGTGAGAGTTCCCTTGATCTTGAATTCAGAAATGTGGAATGTCTTCTGAAACTGGAACCATGTATTTGGTTTTGATTTTAGACTCTAAAATTCTGTGTGTATGTTCTTTCCATGTTGGCTTTCGTTATCAAAAATTAAAATTTATGTGGTGTAACTTAAATGAAATGATACAGATTTTTGTTTTATTTTAATTCATTTCTCTAAAAATTGTAATAGATTAATTGTAAGATGCATATTTCTTTCCATGCAATTTTCCTGAACTCAGCATTTGCCACAGTCTGGTTTTACAGGGAAATAGATTTAATAGAGGGCATATAATTTATACCATTATTTTATGATATTCACCCAAAGAGTCAAATACAGAAGAGTGAGAGAGGTCTGTCCTAGAGAGATGTACTAGAGACCCAAAGAATGCAGTTGACATTCTGGATCCCATGCCAATGTCCTTCAGGAGTCCACCTGAAGACCTAGAGCCCATAACAGTGTCCCCCATGAGTCTCACTGAAGACCTACAGTCCATGACAATGTCTCACACAAGACCATATAAAGGACCTGCTCTGGAAAGTTACAAAGGTTAGTAGTGGAAGCTGAAAAGTTTGCACCTGTAGGATGAAGGCTCTGCCACCAGGCTGAGCTACCCTCACTGGAGCCAGGGAGCAACACTTAGGAAAGGACCAGAGCACCCCCAAAGAGAACCACAGTCATCCTCAGCTACAGCTAAGACACATGCTCCTTCAAAGATGGGAATAGCTGAGTTCATGTCAAGAAAACCAGCATGACTGGCTTCTCCAGGAAAATCAACAGCACACTAGCTTCCCTGCCAATTCTCTTTATGCTGTTGGCAAAATCCTCACACCCAGAACCACACGGATTCAGTTCAGGTGTGTTACAAGTCGACCATTATTTAATCCACCAGGGTATTCATCTAATATTCAATGTCATCTCACAATTGTTGACCTGATGTCAGTCATGATGCATTTGTCAAAGCCTGTGACTGTTCAAACTAGATTATGTCTGCTGATAATCACTGTCTTCGCAATGCAGTCAGGAGAATTCATGGAAGAACATGAATAGAATTAATTAGCTTAGAGTTAAAAGTTACCATCCAAGATTATTTTTATTAAGATTCTTGTGTGTGTGTTTTTTTATGTTTAGTCCTTAATGTGTAGCCAAATAAGTATCTTTATAATTCTTTTATCAGTTCAAGTACAATAAAGCACTGACATCTATACAGAAAAATATAGAATAAAGAACTGTGGGCATATATTTTAAATAATTCAGGAATGTATTGGTAAAATGATTGCTTTTTTAAAAAATTCTGTATTATTTCTACACATTTTTCCTCAATAAAAATATTGATTGATTGATTGTAAAGCAACTAAAAATATTTTAGATTCTAAGAAAGAAAGAGCTCTGCAAGTTGATGGAGTTGGGCCATATATCATTCCTGAGATCCATATAAAATAATGGCTTACAAATTCAAAGCCACGTACCTGACAGTAGGATAAATTTTTAGATCCTTGGTTATGTGATGGTTTTTACATACTTCTAAGAAAATGCATTTATTATATATACACTAGAAATTCTAAATATCAAATGACTGAGTACCACATGATCAGCAGTGATTTTCTTTTCTTGGTAATAAAAAAACTATGTCTTTTCTCACCAGTGATGGCATCAGTCTATCTAGGAGACTCACTGTTTCCTTCACCGTGTTTGATCTATAGTGGTTGTTACAACTTAATAGGGTTCCTGTGAACTCATGTATAGGTGCTCAATTTCCTAATGCCGGCTACTGGGGTCTTTAAGATGATGATTACATCATCAGTGTTAGGGTGGGCACTAATGCACCACAACTGATGCTCGATAAGAAGAGGAAATGTGAGCTGATAGCCAGGATACAGATACACAGAGGAAAGACCCACCACACAGCACAAAGTTAGCCATCTGGAAGTCAAGTAGAGAAGCACCAAGAAGCAACCAAGCCTGCTGTCACATACTTCACAGGCTTCCAGATCCAGAGACGTAAGAGGATAAATTTCAAATGTTTAGCCCTTCTTATCTGTAGTATTTTTTTATGGGAGGACTATAGCAATGGTGAACGAAAATTTTTAGTTTTGCAAACATAGTAACAAAAACAAAATGACAAACAAGCAAAAATCTGATGTAAAAAATAAAATTCTCAAACTTTGCAAGAATTGAAGCTTATGTAAGATTATTATTTTCTTACCTGCGGTATAACAGCTGTACATATATACAAAGAAAACTGTGCTACATGAAACCAACTCAAACTAACAGGCAAGAGGAGGGGCACAAATAAAGCATGAGAACAGAGTTTATCTGACCCCAAAGAAGGAGGAGCTCAGGGAAAAACCACAGATTCAGTTCACAGACACTGTCCCTGCTGCTCTGAATCATTCAGACTCAAAAGATAAAGAATTTCAGCAGGACAAAAAAAGCCTACAATAAACAATGATCACTGACAAAAGAACAATTCAAGAGCTATCTCAAGAGTTAAGCTTCCCTGGGACTTACCCAAGTGAATACTATCATAGTTAAGTGTAGGAGCTCAAGGTGTACTTCTCCAGAGGTATTTGAAAGAGGATATAAGGCAGAATGGGAAGCACTTATTTCTCAGGATTTGGTGTACATTAGGTCTAATTTGAATAGTTCTCCCTCCCAAGAAAAGGGTGACACTCTCTTTGTTTCCTTGAAATAGAAAGCACTCTGAGATTTGATCGTTTGAAATTGAATCAGTGGATTCAGGTTGAAACAAACGGTCACAGAAACACATATTTAGCCTCTATTTCTCCCTGTTTGTCTATCTGGTTCTCTCTGTTCCTTCAAGGTCATGTTGATCAACTCATGTCCTGCTTGATTTAAGTCACCGGTTTTTAAAGATAAGAGTTTCTTTGACTGAGTTTCAAAATCTAGAAAACTGCCCAATGGAATGATCTCAAAACTGTCAAAATCTGTAATTGTTAGAGTTGTATCAAGTTGTCCATGAGCTTTCTTGAAAACATAACACATTACGATTATAGATGCTTTCACAAAGTTGTCAGAAATGTATTAGGACACAGTGAGTTAGTTATGACCAGTTATTAAAATAGCCATGATAATCATTCATAATTAGATGTAGTTTTTCCTGTTAAAGTGAAATAATTTTTAATTAGAGTTCTATTTATGGTACATTAGATTTCTCGGACTCTCATGTAGTTTAGTAACACACATTTGTACAAACAGAAGTCAAATATTTATTTTATTCATATTTTACATTTACAGGGGTGCTCTGGATATCCCCAAATTAGATCCAGATCAAAGGAGTTAATTTTTTATTTGATGTTATCAAGTTTGTTAAAAACACCAACAAATAAAACTGGTGGAAATATTCATATAAATTTCTTTATAGGGGTATATGATTGTT